ACACACTGCGGTGACAGAGTCCCTCACTCAGCGTCGAGAGCCTGCGTCGCGTCCTGTCACGCCTTTCCGTGCTCGTCGTGTTGTGCGTCCTCGTCCTCCTCCTGTCACTAGTACACACATCATGGCACTTCGTCCTTCCTCTATTCCACAGCGTTTTGTCCTGCTGTCACCTCCAGTGTCTTCTCTTCCTCACGTTCCTGACCCTGAGTCTGACCTTGCTCGTGCTGCTAGTCCTACTGTCACACGTCCCTTGGCCACAGTTGTCACTGACCTTCCTTTGAGTCTGCTGCTGCGTTTGCCTTAGTTGCTGAGCTTGTTGACTTTGCTGCTTTGTGCCGCCTTGACTACGCTGCGATTCTTGACTTTGACTCTTCCTGTCCTCCGTCCGTCGGGGGTGAGCTTGCCCTTGGCTGTGACATCCTTGAGGACAGGCAGATTGAGCTGGAGTGCCTAGCGGCCGCTGCACCTCATCTCGCGTCCACGCTACTTTGCCCTGAGGGAGACCCGGATGCACTGGACATCCCGACCCCGCGCTCTTACGCAGAGGCGATCACGGGTCCGTACTCCTCTCAGTAGCAAATAGCCATGGACGCAGAGATGGCTTCCTGGAAGTCCACAGGCACCTACGTCGACAAGGTTCCCCCACTTGGGGCGAACATAGTCGATGTCATGTGGGTTTTCAGGGTGAAGCGGCCGCCGGGTTCTCCGCCTGCCTTTAAGGCTCATTGCGTTGCACGAGGCTTCAGTCAGCGTGAGGGGGTCGACTTCTTCCAGACCTTTTCCCCCACCCCGAAGATGACCACTCTTTGGGTGATACTACACGTTGCAGCACAGCGCGACTACAAGCTGCACTCCCTCGAGTTCTCGACAGCTTTCCTGCAGGGCAGCCTTCACGAGGCTATATGGTTGCGCCGCCCTCGTGGCTTCACTGGGTCGTTTTTTTAGGGTACCTATTGGAGTCTTCGGCGACCAGTCTACGGTCTGCGTCAGGCGCCCCGTGAGTGGCACGACACGCTGATGACAACATTTGCGGCTCTTGGCTTTGCTCCCTCGACTGCTGACCCTTCGCTGTTTCTCCGCACAGGCACTTCTCTGCCGCTGTTCTACGTTATCGTGTACGTAGACGACTTGGTTTTTGCTACTGCTGACACCGAGGCACTGGCCCTAGTGAAGGAGAAGCTGCAGGAGAGACACACCTGCACTGACCTGGGTGAGCTGCGGAGCTATCTTGGCTTGAAAATCACCCGGGACAGAGCACGGCACACCATCACCCTCACTCAGTCACACATGGTGCAGCAGGTCCTTCAGCGCTTCGACTTCTCGTGGTCCTCGCCACAGTCCACTCCTCTGACTACAGCCCACTCGCTCTCAGCTCCACCTTCAGACGAGTCCGTAGAGCCGACTGGTCCGTATCCAGAGCTTGTGGGTTGCCTCATGTACGTGATGGCGTGCACACGACCTGAACTCGCGTACCCTCTCAGCCTCCTGGCTCGCTACGTGGCTCCCGGTAGACACCAAAAGGTGCACTGGGATGCTGCGAAGAGGGTATTGCGCTACTTGTGCAGTACATCGGGCATGGGGCTCGTGCTTGGAGGACAAGGTTCAGTTGTTTTCACCGACGAAGCTTCTTGGGCTGACGACCAAACGACTCACCGGTCGACACAGGGGTACAGCTCCAGCCTCGGCGCTGGTTCTGTCTCGTGGAGGTCCACTCGCTCGTCTTCTGTACTTAGTTCCAGTGGTGAGGCCGAGATCTAAGCTGGGGCTATGGCTGCACAGGAGCTCCGCTGGCTGGCCTACCTTCTGACCGACTTGGGTGAGCGGTCTCGTTTTCCTCCAGTTCTGTACGTCGACAATAAGGCCATGATTGCCTTGTATCAGGACCAGCGACTGGAGCACAAGACGAAGCACATTGCTCTCTGTTACGTGCTCACGCGAGAGCTGCAGCAGCGTGGTCAGTTTCGTCTTGCTTACGTGGCCACACAGGCCAACAATGCTGATGTCTTCACCAAGGCCCTTGGGTCTAATGATCATCAGCGTTTCTGCACTGCTCTTGGGCTTGTGCCCACTCTGCCTCACCTGCTTGTCGCTTGAGCTTGCCTTGCACTTGTTGTACTCTGATATATATGATTATACCTGCATGTTTGCACTTGCTAGGTTGTGATCAGTGTACTGCTCTTGCTATTATATACTTAGCATGTGAACTGGTTTTGTGGCCGCTTGCTTGTGCTCGAAATGCGTGGTGATCTTGAGATCCACCCTGAGCTTTGCTTTGCTTTGTTTCTTCTCTTGACTGGTCTTGTGACTATTGCTAGCTCTGGCTATCCCCCACTTCGCCTATGGGGGTGTGTCAAAACATATATATTTAGTTATATTTAGGCTGTATTGGGGCTAGCTTTAGGGGGTACAGAAACCATCTCGACATTCTCCTTGTATCCCCCTCCCTTTACCTAATGCATTATTCCTAGTTCTAACAGCAACCACACCGTAAATGTCGAAGTCGAAAATGCATTTTCGGTGCATTAGCATTCGCTTGGTTAATCGCATACGAAATGAATGAAGAGCAACATCACGAGAACTACGCATACTTTTTGAGGGGTACGAGCAACATACAACGAACTGGAGGAGGCAACGACAACAATGGAAGGGGGTGAGAGACAGCTGTACGTTTTCATCTCTGCCCGGGAGCACTCGGCGACCTACGACAACACGCTTGGCGAGTCTGGACAAACCTGCCGACGAGCTCACATCATTTGACATCGAAACTGCGTTCGACATTAATTTCGGAGTGATATTCGATACGGTTGCTTCTCCGACGACAATCACCTTCTCTCGATAATCACCTTCGCTGCAAATCGCCTTCATTATATGATTTTCTACCAGAGAATTTCATGACGCTACATCTCCAACTCTATAAGCGGCAAAAAGGCAAATCGCCTAACCCATAATAACAACATTTATTTCGCAGGCGTCATTTGCTGAAGACATTGCTGGAAATTTTGGTGGTGAAACAACAATAAATGTTAGTTCGAGTACTCGAAATACGTCATTGCGTTTCTGGGCTACTTCTCCTGGTTCGCCCTCAAAGATTTTATGGACGTACAACACCTGGATTCGTCATCGATTTCCACACCGACGCCAATTTTGCCAGGACATCATCTTGCCCGACCTTCCCCCCTAGCTAGGAATCCCCCTATTTAACCCGATCACTTTTCATTGTATATCATTCCGGTTGTCACATTCTCGATGTTCGTTTACATTGTGTACTCTGTAAGTTCTACTAGTAAGTCAAAAGGTGTATTTTTAAAAGCGGCGTCCTACGAGTAACCGATTCTTCTTACCGAGCTTCTCTTGATTCCTGAATTGAAAATTGCTGACCAAGTCAAAATTGTAAGCTCGTGGTGGTTTGTTAGTGCTAATTCTGAAACAACTCGTACTGTACATTACCACTCCACAAGGTCTGCCCTGCGGGTTTCCCACTCACTTCAGAACTACTACAGTACCATTTGCTAAGTTTCTTCAGTCCACGCTCACTCCTTTGAATCTCCTTCGTAGCACTGAACACTGCACTGGGCTTCCAGAACCACAGACTAGCGGCACGTGGTCGGTTGCGTCGGAGAGTGTGTTTTACGGGCAGCCTGAGCTGCCCATGACAAGCCCACCACCGTCCAGTGTTTCGCCGCTCCCCCTTCCCGATTGTACGGTATGGTCTGGCGGGAGGGAGGAAAAGGAAGGGCCATGGGCCATGGCAAAGGCATGCATGGGGAGGGGAACGCGCTTTGCGACACGGTGCGTACGTCGCTACAGCCACGGGCTGCTGCCTCCAGTTCGACTCTCGTTTCCCCTTACACCTGGGCTCCACTAATTTCAAGGCCCGAAATTGGGCGCTCGCGGGTAGCTACCCTTATTATGTCTGGGACTAAGGGTTGTACAGAGTGAAACATATTTTGAAGTGGGTAAGGTTACGGACTCCTTGTGAGGGCGATGACGCAACGAAGGTCGCAACTAGAAATATTTCCCGTCAGAGTGGGAGGTAAGCCTGATCCACTGAGGGATTTATTGTTTGAAATAACCGTTGAGGAGAGCGTCCTTAATATCGTTTTGATTCTGGGTGTCTGAAAGATACGGCCGAATCTGGTCTAGGGTGTCTCTGAAAACGTTTTCCAGGGCTTGAAATTAGTGGAGCCCAGGTGTACCTCTGTGTGTGCTGGGTTCCCACTCACCTCATCACCTCACCTTCCTACTGCGTGGCCCTCTCTCTCTCTCGCCTCACCCGCTTCTTTGCGCTTCGCCGAATCTCCAATAATTTCATGTCACACTCGCGAAACTGCTGCTCCTCACCTTTGCCTTTCACTTGCCACATTTGACCACCTTACTGCGGTAGACGACCACGGTTCAGTTACGACTGAGGATGTATGCGCTTTCATAGTGTAATAACACTCAACAAAAAAAAAAAAAAAAAAAAAAAAAAAAGACGACCACGGTTCCATCAAGTGTGTCCCGCTTAGTTAGCCTGCTCGTTGAACTTTCGCGCGCGCTGCGCTTCACTCTCGTTTCGCTCTACTCTATTCTCGTCGCCCCTAATAAAAACGCTTTTCTTTACTCACCCGTCCCAGCCTGAACCCTCACCACATTCACTTCGTAGTTCCGCCGCTCAGGAGCACGGCAAAGGAATCTAGCTCTGCCGGCGTACCAATCTAGCCCAGTCTAGCTCTGCTCGCATCAAAATCTGGCCGAATCTAGGCCCGCCGGTAGCATGGTACTATTCGCAAGCTCGCACGCGCGAGCGAGGATCACGGCCAAGGCGAGATGGCTAACCCTGTTCGCGCTGCTGCTTCCGCTGCTCGTCGAACATACATCTGCCGCCAACTGGCTCGCACCAGGTGCGCCGCGGTTTGTTCTCGGTGGGCTGCTGCTGTCTGCCGCTCTACCCCTTGCGCGTCCACCTGTGTGCGTGCGACGTGCGTGGCTTGCTTCGCACCTCTCCACCGCCCAATATCATGACTTTTAAGTCGTCTCAAAAGCTCGTCATCATGATCGCGGCGCGGCTGTTCCGCAGCTCATCGCGTATTACGTCAACTCGTCGCGCTCGAATGTCCGCACTTCCGCCTCACCATCGGCATGGAAACGGATAAGGGCCGTTCACTCGGGGTTAGCCGCAGCGTGCGTTGATGAGGCCGTTAATAGTCCTCTCCTCCGAAAGCGCCGCCTTGAGCGGCTGCTCGCTTCCACCTGTGGATGGCGGTTATTCCTTATAAGCTTTCTCTGCGCGCAAATCGTCTCCGCGCTCCGCCCCTCGTTGCCTCCGCTTTCTCCCGTCCCACTCCCCCGTCCCTTCCCCGTCTGTTTCCCGCCCTCCGCAAGTCCAGACGGCGCGAACCGTCGAGGCGCTGCCGGCCTCCGCTCGTTCTGCCTTCGGTTCTCCCACATTACTTTTCCGCTCATTAGGCTTACCGCTCATTTCGCCTCCGCGCTCCACTTCTCCCTCCCGTCTTTCCGCCGAATCCCCTTCCAGGCAACCCTACCCGCGAGCGCACCATCACGCGCGGCTACGCGCGGCGACGTGTACGCCGTGCGCCTGCGCCGGCGGTGACTTCCGAGTCGACTCAAATGTCGCCTTTCCGCCCATTCCCCTTCACGCCGCCTATTCCAGGCCGACCGACCCGCGCGAGCGCCGTCACGCGCAGCGACGTGTACATCGTGCGCCTGCGCCGGCGGTGACTTCCGTTCATTTCGCCTCCGCACTCCACTCATCCCCCCTCCCCACGTTCCGCCCACTCCCCTTCCAGGCCACCGACCTTCCCGCGCGCGTGCCATCACGCGCGGCGACGTGTACATCGTGCGCCTGCGCCGCGCGCCCGTGGCGGTGCAGGTGAGCGCGCCGTCGACGGCGGCGAGCGTTAAGTTCTCCGGCGCGCTCAGCCCCGACTCCGTCTCGACCACGTCCGCCGCGCTCTTCTCCGCCTCCATCAACTCCGCGTCCGCCGGCGGCGGCTCGCCCGTTCGCGGCGGTAGCGACTCGGGCAGTAGTGCCGCGAGTGCCGGGAGTGGTAGCAGCAACGGGGGTGTCGGGACCGGGGGGGCCGCGCGGAGGCTGCTGACGGAAGCCAGATCGGTGGAGGAGAGTGTTTCCGCGCGGATGGCGCGGGATGGGGGAGACGTTGCGCGGGAGGGCGCGCGGAGAAACAGGCGGAAGCTGGCGGCGGCGGATTGGGGCGCGGAGACGCGCAACGGGCGGCCGTGGTTCGACCGGTCGAGCGCGTTAATCCAATCGCTAGTAGACACGTTACAGGACGAGCAGAATAAAGTTGCGCGACAGGCGGGACTCACTAACATCACACGGGACATCTTATATCGGTACTTTTACATCTCCAACGGGTTCGCGGCGGTGCTGACGGCGGCGCAGGCGGAGAGTCTGCGCAGCGACGTGCGCGTGCTGCAGGTGCTGCGGAGCCGCGCGGTGCAGAAGCAGACGAGCGAGACGCCCGCGCTACTTAATCTCCCCAAGACCTTCTGGAGCGCGAGTTATACGGGCGAGGACGCCGTGATTGGCGTCGTGGACACGGGTATCTGGCCGGAAAACCCCTCCTTTAGCGAGGTATGGGGAAACGGGGGGTGGGTGAGGAGAGGTGCGGTGTTGTTGGAACGGGAAAAGGGGGAAAGGGTGCGGGTGGGGGCGCGGGAGGGGCAGCGGGAGGGGGATGGGAATGACGTAATTCTTACGCTTTCTTTTATCGTGTCCTCTCCCGTTTTTTCTCCGTTCCCTTCCCTGCTCCCCTTCCCTGCTCCCCTTCCCTGCTCCCCTTCCCTGCTCCCCTTCCCTGCTCCCCTTCCCGCTCCCCGCCCCGCTCCCGACCTCGCTCCCCTCTTTGCCTCGCACCCTCTTGCACATGCGGAATGCTTGGTATTCATCTCCCGCCCCACCAGCCTTGATCCCATTCAACTCAACGCGCACATGCACCCAGCCGCTAAATGCTCGGCTCTCCGTCCCCCGTCCCCCTCGCCCTCCCTGCTGCTCTCTCTCCCCCATCTCCCCCCCCCCCCCCCTCCCCCCCTTGTGCAGGAGGGCTACAGCGGGTTCCCGCGGAGCTGGCACGCGCTGTCCACGGACTGTGCGCGCACGGCGGACTTCAAGGGGTGCTCGCGCAAGCTCGTGCAGGCGAGCTTCTTCCCCACGGCGTTTGAGAGCGAGTTCGGCGAGATTGATACTTCTTCCGATTGGCGCTCGCCTCGTGATGCTGACGGCCATGGCTCCTGGGTCGCCGCGTGAGTCCTTCCTTGCCGGCTCGTTCGTTTGCTTGCTGCTGCTCGATGTTTACTCCTTTCCCGCTGCTTGCGGCTGCTCAGCACTGCTTGCGGCTGCTCAGCACTGCTTGCTGTTATTCATTGCGATGCGAGCACTGCCTCTTGGCACGTCATGCAATCCCTTCCAATCCCCACCCTTGCTACCGCGGCTGCTCCTGTACTCTTCCCACTCCTTCCGCACATCTCAATCTCCACCCTCGTTCTCTCTTAAATATCTCTTCCCCTTCCGCTCCCCCTCCCCACACACCGGCCCTCCCTGTGATCCTCCCCTCTCCTCCACTCCCCCCGCCTCCCTTCCGCCCCCGCCCTCCCTCCGTCCTCCCCCCTCTGCCAGTGCGGCAGCGGGCAATCGCGACACGCCCATGACAGTCGCGCGCGGGCAGACCGTGGGCGCGGGCAGCGGCACAGCACCACGGGCGCGCATCGCAGCATACAAGGTCTTCTGGCGCAGCAGCGAATCTTCAGGCCTCGTAGCCACCACCGCGGACATCGAGCAGGCCATGGATCAAGCCGTAGCGGACGGCTGCGCTGTTATCTTGCTGGCTCTGGGTGCTGTGGACGGCGGGCAGAGCTACTTTGATGATCTGCCGGTGCTGTATGCGAGCATGGCGGGAACGCTGGTGGTGGCCGCGGCTGGGAATGGCGGGAAGGGCAGTGAGGCGGCGCGGACTGTCGTAAACTTCTCACCGTTTTACTTGACGGTCGGGGCAACGTACGTGGAGGAAAGGGGGGGGACGGGAAAGAAGGTGGGGAAGGAAGGTGGGGAGGAGGAGTGGGAGGGGCAGGGGGAGGGGGAGGGGGGAAGCTGGGGGGAGGGGAAGGGGAAAGTGGTGGGAAGAGGTGTTGGTTGGAGGCTTGTTGATTTCGAAAGAAAGGGTGAGGGGAGGGGAGGAGGGGAATTGGGGGGTTACTCAGGGCAAATGTTTCTGATTCTCGTCACTCTCTTATCTCGTAATCTCCCCAACTCTCCCCTCCCTTTTTCTCACCCATTTCTTCCCCGTCCCACCCACCCCTTGCCTCCTCCGCAGCACCATCAACCGGCGCTTTTCAGCAAAGCTCCTGCTGTCCAACGGCACAGAACTAGACGTGAACAGGCTGGGGTCGACTCTTGAGACGACTCACAAGGCGCTTCCCCCTCTCGCCCACCCACCCCTTGCCTTCTCTTCCCCCCCCGCAGCACCATCAACCGGCGCTTCTCAGCAAAGCTAATGCTGTCCAACGGCTCAGAGCTGGACGTGAACGGGCTGGGAGCGGGCAGCAGCGCAATCACCAACGTGCCCATCATCCACTCGCCCGACGCCAAGCTCGCCTCCGCTGCCGCTGCCCAGGTGAGTGAGTGCTGTCAAGGAGAGCCCTGACTCTTGCGTCGACTCAAAAGTCACTGCCGAGGTGAGTGCGTGTTGTTAAGGAGAGCCCTGCGAGATTCCAAGGAAGCACCCTGCTTTCCCCTCTGCAACCAACAGCCACCGCAATCACCAACGTGCCCATCAGCCCTGCCAAGGTGGGCAAGGGAGGGAGTGCTACCAGGCCAGGGTGAGCGAGTGCTGCCAGGGTGAGCCCTGTGAGTTTCTAGACCCTGCCATGAGGTCAACACGGAACGGGTTGCCATGAGGAAAGTGAATGTGCGTATCCATGAAAGGAAGCACCCTGCTTGCCCCAACGTAAGCAACCCCACTCTATGCCATCCGCCTCACCGCGTGCACCCCAACCCCCTCCCTCTCTCCCTCCCTCCACAGCCCCCCCCTCGGCAGGCGGACGGGTGTGAAGTGCACCAGGGACGCTAGACCCAACACTGCTAACCGGCAAGCTTTGAGTCGACGCAAGCCCCCTCCCTTCCCCTCTTTCCCCTCTTGCCAGGCGGACGGGTTTGCACCCGGCAAGCTTTGAGTCGACTGAAACCCCACCTCTTCCCCTCTTTCCCCTCTTTCCCCTCTTGCCAGGCGGGCGGGTTTGCAGTGCACCAGGGACGTTAGACCCAGCACTGGTGACCGGCAAGCTGGTGGCTTTTGAAGCGCCTCAAAGGTCCTCCCTTCCTCCCTCCCTCCCTCCCTCCACACATCCCCTTGCCAGGCGGACGGGTGTGCACCAGGGACGCTCGACCCAGCACTGGTGAACGGCAAGCTAGTGGTGTGTGTGGCGGGGGGTGACGTGCCTCTGACCGCAAAGGTGACCGAGGCCAAGGCAAAAGGCGCGGTGGGCGTGGTGCTGCACAGCTCGCCGCGCACCAACCAGCCGTATGCTCGCGACCTGCCCGTGGTGGGCGTCAGCGTGGGAGACTCCGATTCCCTCCTCGCCTTCCTCCAAACACCCAAGTGCGTGCTGTGCTGTGCTGTGCTGTGCTGCCGCCACACTCAGGCTCGGGCTGAGGTTCGGGCTCGGGCTTTGGTTCGGGCTCAGGGTTTGGCTCGGGGATTAAAGCTTGTGCTTGTGCACGTGTGCGTGCGCCTGCTTTGCCAAAATCCGTCCTCCTATCTGTCAACACCTCTCTGTTAGTCCACCCTTAACCTCTCACCTCTCCATTCCCCACTCTCCTGCGCCCTTCCCCTTCTTCCACCCTGCACCCGCACCCGCGCCACCACCCATTCCCCGTCCCCTCACCCTTCTCCCGTGCAGTCCGCATGCGTCCCTCTCGTCAGCATTCACAACAGCATCCGACCTGCCAGCGCCAGTCATGTACGCAACATCCTCCACCGGCCCTCTCTCTCAAGGCGCCACCACAGACGTATTCAAGCCCGACCTCGTCGCTCCAGGCGCCTTCATCTGGGCCGCCTCCAGAGGCACAACCCTCTCAGACACCACAGAGTTCAAGATCGGGTCCGGGACGTCTGTGGCAGCAGCACACGTGGCAGGGGTGGCTGCGCTGCTGATGCAGTGGAATCCAGCGCTCACACCCGTGCAAGTCATGTCCGTGCTGACCACTACTGCCAATGCGACCATGGTGAGGCAGGACCCGGTGAAAGCAGATGCGCCCACGCCTATGGATATGGGCGCGGGGCACCTGGATGTTGACGAGATGTTCAGTCCTGGGCCTGGGCTGGTTTACAATGCCGAGGTGCCACACTTTCTGCGGTTTCTCACCGGGCAGGATGCGGCGCTTGCTGGGAAGATTCTCCAGGACGGGCAGGAGGTGTCGCCGCTCGCCGCCCGGGATCTCAACCGGGCAGCGATCGCCGTGTCGAATCTGCAAGGCGCGGTTACGGTAACGCGCGTGGTTACCAATCTGGGCGCCACGGCAACGTATAAAGCAAGTGTGGTGGAGCCGGCTGGTGTGGATGTAGAGGTCACTCCTGCAAGCTTCACCATTGAAACAGGTGCTGCCAATGCTATGAGATTCTCGGTGAAACTGACCCCGCGTGCGGGAGCGGCAGCAGCGGGGAGTGGGTGGAGGTTTGGCAGCCTGACTTGGAGCGACAGTGCGGGCCACAGAGTGAAGTCGGTGATTGCAGTGGAGGTTTAGGGAGGATTCGTTCGAGCTGGCTCACAAGTCGACTCGGCTTGGCAGCCTGACCTAGAGACGAGCACGGGAGGTGGAGGGGTTGAGAAGGAGGGACCTGGCAGACTGGCAGACTGGCAGGCTGGCAGGCTGGCAGGCTGGCAGGCTGGCAGGCTGGCAGGACTCTCTACTTGAATCGGGCTGTCTTGTACTTTTTCTGGGACCTGCCTGGACACTATTCCCAGCTGTAGGGGATGCTTCGTTCTCTTGTGCATGAGCGGCGTCACTGAAACTTTTTGGAATCTATTATGTTGCAGCCGTTCTTTGTACGGTAGTTGGTTTGCACAAGATCAGCATGCTGCTGAACTGATTGGTCCTTACCGTCTTGGCGGAACACTAGCACGTGGTTCTGCAAGTGGGCTAGGTTACTATGGTATAGCAATACTTATCAGAACATGTACTGCAGCTGTCCAATTTATCTCTATCTATTCTATACCCTGTTTCCCACGGCCATTGCCATGCCATCCCCTGTTTCACAACCTCATCTATTGAGAAAGCTTGCTTTCTGTTCTTGCAATGGCAACGTGCTTCATTATGGCAACGTGCTTCATTAGAATTGCAATAATTACAACATTCTCGTCCAACTAAAAATCATACATGTATATAATCAGGGTGGGTGGGTGGGGAGTGGAACTACAAAGTTCTGAAATGAAGACGTGGGTGGAGGCCAAATACCGTAGCTTCCAACCCTCTTATATATTCGGCGAATGCTAATTCGCAGTTGCCTTGCTGCGCTACAGTCAGCTGCGCTTTCACAATACGTATTTTTAGAAAGTGTTATACACTTTCAAAAAAAAATCATATTGTGAAAGCGCAGCTGACTGTAGCGCAGCAAGGCAACTGCGAATTAGCATTCGCCGAATATATGAGGGTTGGAAGCTATTTGGCCTCCACCCACGTCTTCATTTCGGAACTTTGTAGTTCCACTCCATTCTCGTCCAACCACTAGAAGTTCCTGTTTCCTTGGTTGTCGTCAACCTTACCTCAAAAAATAGTAGGCACTAGTAGTGATGACATTGAACGTTTTTAAGTTACTGGGATGTTTTTTCCATTTGCATCGTGCTGTTTTTCCTAGCTCCCGCAAACATCTACGGAAACATGCTCTCGCCCTCGCCTGTAACCTTTTGCAGCAAGAGCGCGCGATCCAGGGATAAGCGGAGAGATGGCGGCGAAATTGCCGCCAGCGCATCGCCTGATTACGAATCGCCACACGCGCGCCTGAGGACGAAATCGCCACAGGCGCGCACCCCAAGACGAAATCGCCACAGGGGCGCGCACCCTAGGACGAAATCGCCATAGGCGCGCACCCCAAGACGAAATCGCCACAGGCGCGCACCCCAGGACGAAATCGCCACAGCCGCGCACCCCAGGACGAAATCGCCACAGGCGCGCACCCCAAGACGAAATCGCCACAGGCGCGCACCCTAGGACGAAATCGCCAGAGGCACGCACCAGGACGAAATCGCCATTGGCGCGCACCAGGACGAAATGGCGCACCCAAGGACGAATCGCCACTGGCGCACCCCAGGACGAAAGCGCCATGGGCACGCCTGATGACAAAAGTGCCTATGGCGCGCCAGAAATGAAACTGCCACAGCTCTGGCGCCCCTGCTAGGACGAAACCTGCTTCTATTGCTAAAACAGGTATGTGCTAAAATACGTTTTCTCATATGTATCATATTATTTTTCTTCCATTTGACTTTCATTCTTGATGTAGCGGACGAGGTGCGGGGCGATAGCCTGGGCAAAAGGTCGCCATTGTTTACACCATCGCAACGACGGCCATTTTTTACACCCACGATGTTTCCAAGACGGGAAAGGGACCGAGGGTCCCGTTGCTGGCCAGAGGGCCGTTCCCCAGGGGGGAAAGGGACCGAGGGTCCCGTTGCTGGCCAGAGGGCCGTTCCCCAGGGGGGAAAGGGACCGAGGGTCCCGTTGCTGGCCAGAGGGCCGTTCCCCAGGGGGGACAGGGACCGAGGGTCCCGTTGCTGGCCAGAGGGCCGTTCCCCAGGGGGGAAAGGGACCGAGGGTCCCGTTGCTGGCCAGAGGGCCGTTCCCCAGGGGGGACAGGGACCGAGGGTCCCGTTGCTGGCCAGAGGGCCGTTCCCCAGGGGGGACAGGGACCGAGGGTCCCGTTGCTGGCCAGAGGGCCGTTCCCCAGGGGGGAAAGGGACCGAGGGTCCCGTTGCTGGCCAGAGGGCCGTTCCCCAGGGGGGAAAGGGACCGAGGGTCCCGTTGCTGGCCAGAGGGCCGTTCCCCAGGGGGGAAAGGGACCGAGGGTCCCGTTGCTGGCCAGAGGGCCGTTCCCCAGGGGGGAAAGGGACCGAGGGTCCCGTTGCTGGCCAGAGGGCCGTTCCCCAGGGGGGAAAGGGACCGAGGGTCCCGTTGCTGGCCAGAGGGCCGTTCCCCAGGGGGGAAAGGGACCGAGGGTCCCGTTGCTGGCCAGAGGGCCGTTCCCCAGGGGGGAAAGGGACCGAGGGTCCCGTTGCTGGCCAGAGGGCCGTTCCCCAGGGGGGAAAGGGACCGAGGGTCCCGTTGCTGGCCAGAGGGCCGTTCCCCAAGGGGGAAAGGGACCGAGGGTCCCGTTGCTGGCCAGAGGGCCGTTCCCCAGGGGGGAAAGGGACCGAGGGTCCCGTTGCTGGCCAGAGGGCCGTTCCCCAGGGGGGAAAGGGACCGAGGGTCCCGTTGCTGGCCAGAGGGCCGTTCCCCAGGGGGGAAAGGGACCGAGGGTCCCGTTGCTGGCCAGAGGGCCGTTCCCTAGGGGGGACAGGAACCAAGGGTCCCGTTGCTGGACAGAGGGCCATTCCCCAGGGGGGAAGGGGACAGAGAGAGTCCAAAATCAGCCAGGGAGACGTTGCCCTAAGACGGGACGCTAGCATGAATTGTGTAGGTCTCATTGTGGCCAGATATTGAGATATTTTACATGATTTTGGTACGGATCATATATTTTATTGTAGGTGTTTATTAATGGGAAAACTGTACGAGTCTCAAAAAAAAAAAAATGTTTGGAGTGATCTGATTACAAATATTTGGTTGGTAGAGTTTAAGTAAGGCTTTTTAATCTCACTGGTTGCACACACCAAACCCCAATCATTGTTTCTTTTGCATGAGGGCAGCGCGGAAGGGATCAGGCGTTCGCTATCGTGCACTGCACATCCAACTTGTTCTATTTTACATGTACATGCTTGACAAGCGACGTGCATGCTTATTAATGATTGAGAAATGTTGGGTACAAACCTACCGGCTGTGCATCGTATGGACAAGAATGCGCCGTTGGGAGTTACAGATTGACTTTTCGTTTCAAAAAAAAAAAAAAAAAAGATGAAGTCCTCGTCTAACCCGCATGCCAGACTGAGCTTCCCTACTACGATATCCAAATGAAGTTCAGACACTCGCGCTGTAGTTAGTCGGGAGCATCAAACCAATTGAAGTGCAGCACATTTGACATTTCAACCGCCGAATACCGTAGAAGCTATAATTTGTTCCAGATTCTACACCGAGGGTCATGTTAGTGGTGAGAAGGCCATTTCCCAAGGGGAAAGGAGCAGAAGGTCCCTGATGGTCAAAGGGTTGTTCCCCTAAGGACAGGAGGCTGATTGGACACTAATCGTGGCCTTATAATGGAGATATTTTATACGAGCTTGGTTGCTGAGAAGAGTCGTCTTCCAGTGTTGATCATAAAAAATAGAAGTCCAACCTTTTATAATACCGTATATATGCTTGGACGCATGCGCCATGCGGTGAACATGGAAGCACATTGCCTAAACTCTCTCCCATTTGAATGTAATTCACATGGTCATTGGCAAGCACGCACACTATTGGGCCCCGCATGGCCATAGAGTAGTTGGAGGTGCTCACACAGTCATTTAATCAAGGTCATTTATTTTGCGTAGATCAAATCCGTTGATGGTCAGATTCTCATATCATTTTGACACGCCAAGAGCTGTTATGTACGTGTTACAGAAATTCTTGCGATGCGGTACTCTACATAAAGAACCATAGGGATGAATCGAGCTCTGGTCAACGACTGAAGATACTGGCCATGATACTCGTAGGCCAATGGATGATTTTCCTACCGCTTAATATATTTGTGTTAGAATATATATGTAACTGCCTGTAGCTGTAGTTTAGTGTAGTTATTATAAACTGTTGGTGGTGCACCTTCTTTGCTTGCTCTGTTTGCTATATGTACCCTAGTGCTATAGTGAACACCATTCCCATTCTCTCGTCTTGGCACAAACTCACTCGACTCCCCCTTGGCCTAGGCTACTAAGCCTAGGCCCTACCTAAACCTAACTACCACTTATGCCACTATTCTCAACATGGCATTAGAGCCTGTTACGTCCTGGCCTGTGGGCCTGCCTCAAGCTTCCGCTGCTGTTTTTCCGGTCGCGCGCCGCGGGCGCGTGGCGAATTTCCTTCTGTCCCGCGCCCGGGTGGCGCGTGACGTTTTACCTGCTCGTCGTGTGCCCCGTGGCATGCGACGGTGCCCTGAACTGCCCGTCGCGTGCCCCGTGGTGCGCGACGGTGCCCTGAGCCGCCGCGGATCCGCCACTGGCGCCCGCATCGGTTCCCTGAGCCGCCGCGGAACCGCCTCTGGCGCCCGCGACGGTGCCCTGAGCCGCCGCGGACCCGCCCCTGGCGCCCGCGACGGTGACCTGAGCCGCCGCGGACCCGCCTCTGGCGCCCGCGACGGTGCCCTGAGCCGCCGCGGAACCGCCCCTGGCGCCCGCGACGGTGTCCTGAGCCGCCGCGGACCCGCCCCTGGCGCCCGCGGCGGTGCCCCTGCCTCACCCGCGCCTGCACTCGCTGCAGCCGCCCCTGCACCACCCAGCGCCTGCCCTTGGGGCAGCCGCCCCTGCTCCTGCACTCGGTGCAGCCGCCTCTGCCTCACCCCGCGCCTGCACTCGCTGCAGCCGCCCCTGACCTACCCGCGCCGACTCTCTGTAGCCGCTCTGCGGCTTTCTCCCCGCCCACCCCCTCCTCCTTCGTCTCCCTGCAGCCGTGGGGGGGAGGGTATGGGGGTGGCGGGTGTGGGGGTGATGGGTGGTGTGTTTCCCTTCCCCTCCTCCTCCTTTCGTTCCCACTGCTGCAGCTGCTCCTGCAGCAGTGTGGGGGGGAGAGGAGAGGTGGAGGGACGGCTGCTGGTTGGTCTCACACCCGCCACCCCAGTGCCACTCCCCCGGCTCCCCCACACCCTCACACCCTCCCCCCCAGCGGCAGCTGCAGCAGTGGGAACGAAAGGAGGGGGAGGGGGAGGGTGAGGGGATGAAGGGGGTGACCAGCCAGAGCCAGCCCGCCTCCTCTCTCTCCCTGCTGCCCCTCCTGTGGTCGGGGGGGGAAGAGAGTAAGGGGGTGGCAGGAATGTCTTGTTGTCGCCTGTCCCTTTGCTGCTGTACCTGCTCTGTTACCGTGCCTGCTGTTGCTGTTGCTGGTGTACCCCTCCTGCAGGTTGTGTTCTGCACAAACTCCTGCTGCAGGCAGTTATGGGGGAGTGTTAGAATATATATGTAACTGCCTGTAGCTGTAGTTTAGTGTAGTTATTATAAACTGTTGGTGGTGCACCTTCTTTGCATGCTCTGTTTGCTATATGTACCCTAGTGCTATAGTGAACACCATTCCCATGCTCTCGTCTTGGCTCAAACTCACTCGACTCCCCCTTGGCCTAGGCTACTAAGCCTAGGCCCTACCTAAACCTAACTACCACTTATGCCACTATTCTCAACAATTTGACTAGCGTTACTCTTCCTAGCGCAACTCTCACAGCTCCGACCACACCGATCCCAACCTAACAAACCTCTTTCCCTAGTTGCGATTCCTCATTATGATCGCGCGCTAGTTGGCATCCTTCCACAGGAGCTTTGTCATCTTGTGTGTTCTAGCGAACACTTGCGAACACGAAAGACAACTCCTGACAATAAACTAATTTCAACAAAAACGCAATTGCTGCTCAATTCGTCACATAGAAATCGCTCGCATGCTATCGCACTTTGTTATCTATCCATTAGCTCGCTCACATCCTCAACAGTGAAACGTCGGCATCCGTTGCGGATGTCGTCGAATCCTGACGGTCGGAATCTTTGATCCGAGAGCTGATATGCACCAACATCCAGCGACATGGTCACTTCGGACATGCCCGAAACACCAACTACCACCAGTTTCAACCACACTCTAATGACGCACCAACAACCAAGACATCCACCATCTCATGGGACGAGCAACCTCAATGCACAACATTTGGAACCCCATTGACACGGCGATCGCAACCACCAACGGCACCCCTCTCAGCACTTCGTCGATGCCATCAAGTGCAACGACACGTCTTCAACGCCCCCAACCACACATGTCTCAGATGACCCAATTCTAATGAAGCACGTTGCCATTGCAAGAACAGAAAGCAAGCTTTCTCAATACGTATTTTTAGAAAGTGTTATACACTTTTAAAAGAAATCATATTCCCTGTTGGCCTGGATGAGTAGGAGTGCAGAGCAGTGCTTGTCTCCCAGGTTTTTCTGTGTACAGTGGGGTTGGGGTGGATATTATGAAATGTTGTGGCAACAATATAATTTTCTCATGTCTCCTTAGCAGCCTTCAATTATCCATGTCGCTTGTTCTCCATCTATACCAGTGACAAACAGTGATTACCGTTACCGAACATAGGTACCGGCATGTGTGGGTGGCACACTGACAAGACTGGGCTGTACCGTACAAGACTGGCCCACAAGTGCGGTACCAATACAGTACCGTATTGCATCAGACATGTTTCCCCACATGTTTTGGAAGCTGGTCAGGTCATCCCTCTTGTATGCTCATTCCGCACTCCCTCCATCCATGTCCTCGATCGACTGTAAAGCCGTCGCTGCAGAAGCCCCTTGATACTGTAATGAAGTCCCACCCATTGCATTCCGAACACTTGAAAACTGGCCTGCCTACGCCATACCTAAACTATCACCCTTCCCTCTATCCTTCCCTCCACCCTGCCACAACGCCCTACGCCAGGTCCTCATCCTCAAAGTCATCCTCAAACGTGTTGAACAAGTCCGAGTCAGCGAGCTTCTCCCTTCTCCCTTGCACTCTCACTGCAATACCCTCCACCCCACCCCCTCCCCCCCCCAACAACGCCCCCCTAAGCTAAGTCCTCGTCCTCAAAGTCGTCCTCAAACTTGTTGAAGAAGTCCGAGTCAGCGAGCTTCTCCAGGGGGTGCGGGTCACCGGCATCCAGCCCCATCTCAGCCACGTCCATGTCTACATCCATGGCCGCCCCGCCCACCTCCTCCGAGTCCTGCAGGAACGGATGCGTCGAGTACCCCGGCTTCATGCCTGCTCGCTCTCTCTCTTGCTCTCTCGCTTGCTTGGTTGCTCGGTTGCTCTCTCGGGCACTTGCTCGCTCCCGCCCTTCTGCTGCTCCCCCTGGCCGTGCCCGTTCACGTTTGAGATTTCTTCAAAGTGTTTCCGCGCCGCTGTCGCACAGCGCCCTTGGGTGGGGTATTGTCAAGACGTGCTTTGCCGCGTGGCTGAGGGTGAGGAGGGAAATGAGAAAAAGTGAGGAGGGGAGATGGACAGCGGCGTGGGGATGGGTAGGGATGGGTGGGATGAGGGAAAGGGGGGGTTGGAGAGGCTGAGGGGATTTGTGCGGAAACACGCGAGAGGTTCTGAGTGTCAACAGGTGGGAGCTTCTGTCTTCAAAACAAAAGCAATGAGACCATTGTTGTCGCGGCATCAGCTTGGCTTTGGGGAAGGGAGGGGTTCAAGGAGTGATTAGTCCTGAACCGCCTTGGAACCGTGAGAAGCGGCTTTTAGATAGAGCTACTGTTGACCAGGTGTGGATAGTCTTGCGAAAAAGGTGGTGAAGAATTGCATAAGAAGTGACATCTATAGCATAAGAAACACGAAATCAGCGAGGATGAAGAATACGGTAGGGGAGAGGAACGGAGAAGTAAACGAAGGAGGGTAAAGAGTTGTGTCATAGACGACACATGAGCACGGGCCAGCCGTGTGGGGGGGAAGGACCGCGGGGAGTGGGGGTGCAAGAATGAGGGAAGAGAGGAGGAAGATGGGTGAGGGAGAGCGATGCAAAAGGAGGAGGGGGGGAAGAGGGGTGAGGTAAAGAGGTGAGAGAGAGGGGGTATAAAGCGTTGAGGACAAAGAGTGAGGGGAGGACGAAGAGAGGGTTGGGGTGAGGGATGTGAAGAACGCAGACACCAATCAGGAATTAACAAGCAGAGATTGTGGGAAATAGTGTGAATCAGCTCATCGCGATCCATCACGAGTGGTGGGGGAGCATAGTGAAATTTAAGAACGGCCATTACCGCTTATTGGCGATCGCATGCCTCTCACACCGAGAACTTAAGGAGGGCACAAGGGTTAACAGGGAGCGGCAATTGGAGCTGAAACTCACATGGCGCGCGGCAGTGAGCGGTGAGGTGCTACCAGCCGCTCGTTTCCTGCCAGGAAAGGAAAGATAACCAGGCGTGCAGGGACGGGAAGTACGGTGAGGAAAAAGAGGCGGAGAGAGGAACGCGAGGGGACGGGAGAGGAGCCGGGGGTCGGAATGAGGGTTTGGAGTGGGTGTTGGACAGTCGGAAACAAGGAAGGACGTAAGGGAAACAGGGAGAGGGAGGGAGGAAGAGAGGTGTGTGGTTGACGCGGTGGGCAGGAAGCGATGGGGAGCTTGCGCGGCAAGGGGACGACGGGAACGAGGCGTTAAAGGAGTCGGTGGGTGGTGGGGAAGAGGAACGGGCGCGGGGGAGGGAGCGTAGGAGGGCAGGATTGGATGAGCTGCGGAGAGGAGGAACAGTTAAGCGAAAGCAACGGAAGAGTAGAGGAGGAGCGGGGGAGCGGAGGAAGGAGAAGAGGAGCAGGAAGCAGAGAGGTACGAAATAGGGGTGCGACGTGGTGGTGCGGGACGGGCGCGAGCACGAGAAACAGGCACACGACACGCGGGGCGAACGCACGGGTAGACGGGACGCGCGCGCGGGACAGGCGGCAAGGGAAAGGGATGGCGTGGCGCGGCGAGGGGTGTGAGGAGAAAGCACGGTAGAGCGAGTGGTGGGTGAGTCGAGGCGATCAGGCTGGCGGAAAATTGGCGGCGAACTGGAGAGAAGGGACGAGGGGGAGATGAGAGTCGGTGTTCCTAATGAATTTATTGCACCTCCACACTGCGACTATCCGTACCTTTGGTTTTGAATGACTCGGCTGTGGCGCTATAGTACTGGGCTGTGGCGCTAGAATACTTCAGGCTGCTGTAACCTCAAAAGAAACGGGAGGATCTACTTTCCTGAAGAGGTTCTTCCTGGTGGATGGATTCCTGGCTGAACTTTCCGTTCTCGCTAAAACCGTGTCCTTCGTAGGATATACTATCTAGAAAATGATATAAGCCCTTCATTGTTCAGCTCCAATAATGAGTCTTCCATCCACCTCCTCCCCTGATTATTTTTACGAAAACAAAATGAGTTTGATCATATTCTACACATCAAATTTTGATTTCTGAGGGATATATACACGGCTTTGAAGATGTGGAGCACGGTTTGCCATGCCAAAGATATAGTGATCTCGTGAAAAGGCGAAACGAATGTGCATTTCATCTTGCGCCTGATGTAGCTTATATGAAGGACGGTCACATTGTCCATGCGCTGCGGCTCGTCAGAACACCCCCAGCCAACCCCAAGGTTCCATTGTCCGTAGGTCGGTACGTCTGACGGTGAGCACTGAGCATTGAGCTGAGCTCCCTCCCTCCCGTTATCATTCCGTTCCCGTTTTGTTCGCGACCAGCAGAACAAGACGCTGATTAGCGGAGTCCAGTCAAACTCATCCAACCCAAATCCGCCCAAATGAAACAATTTCGAAACCATCCTAACCGAACTTGAGCCCAACTATTCGCAGGGATTTTTTCTCTCATGAAAAGCAAGAGCAATTGAGGGACTTAGGAGTTGAGATAAACAACTTAGAAGTTAGAACGGATGATTTCTTGTTGCTACGGTCAACAAGGATAATCTACTGCTCCACTCACACCAATCACCTTTGAACAAGAGCAGTAGGAGCGCAGCAATAAGAAAACGATGGGTCGCGCGACGCGCTGCGCGGAGTGGTTTGTCCCTGCTCTGCTGTTTTCGGTGCTACTAGTTGCTCTTCCCAGCTTCGGTACTGCCCAATCGGAACGTATCCGAACCAAGGCCGAGGAACCGCTTCCGTTCGTCGTTCTCCACGGTAAGCGCGCTCGTTTTCTCCCCTCTCCCTCTCGTTCGAAACAAGTTAAAGCGAAAGAAGAAGACGAAGAAAAGACTCACACGCATCGCGTTTTCGTTAAGTCTCGCTCTGAAAACGCGACATTCTGAATATAGTTTTTTTTCCCAAGCTGCTGCTTCTACTTTTAACCACGGACGTGATTCGCACACTCGCCATCCGCTATCTCTGTGCAGGCCTCGGCGATGCGTGCTCGAACGGCGGCATGGGTAACTTCGTGTCACTGCTAACGTCGCTGTCGTCCGCCAACGGATCGTGCGTGTGAGTGCCGTTCTCCTCTCGCCGCGGCGCTCCTCTCGTCGCTCACCTCTCACCCCTCGCCTCTCAAAATGTGCCATTTAGTAGCATCTGTAAACAATTCTGGTGCATACGAGCGTCCCTAGCTGTCCCGCGAGTTTCTTTGTTATAAATACAGAAGTATTGTGAAGGAACTTAGAATTTTCTGACGAGTCATGCCTCTCCATGGCCTAGAGCTCACTGTATGGCATGGCATTGCATGGCATGGGCCTTATCGAGCCTTCCTGGGGTGCAAATACATTCTTGAAAATCTAGCCGTTTCTGCATGTGCTCGCTTGATTGCCTCAGTCCGCCAGTGCGCCAAGTTTAGTGCGTCTTTCAACCCTGTGCTAGCTGTGGGCTCACTAGCGATGTGCAAGGGCACGGATGTACGGCGATGTGAGCTCAAGTCGTGGCGGAGCTGAGGTCGTGTGGGATGGTGTGAACGCACACCTTTGTGACTGAGAGGTTATCTGTGCTATTCTGTGTGCCTGTTCCTGACTGTTATTTTGCTATGCTATGCTGTCTTGCCTGACCCACTTGTACTGGCTCGAGTTCACTTCTTGCACGTACTCCACGTTGTCTCTCTCACGCGCGCGCGCGCATGGACTTCGGTGCAGAGAGGTGGGGCGAGGAGCGAGCGACAGTTGGCTGATGAGGCTGGACAAGCAGACTGAGCAGGCATGCAGCAAGGTGAGTAATACTGCTCTTGTCATGTCACCCACGCTGTCCTTGCTCGCTCGTTCTGCTCTACTTTGCATGCCTGCCTGGACAAGCAGACTAGTATTCCCGTACTTTGGATATGCTTTTTATTCCATCGCCTCAACACATTGTTCTAGAGCCCGACGGGCCTATGCCTGCACCTGGTTGCAAGCATCGTCACCCTCAGTGCCTTGCAGGGCAAGGCAACGCGCCAGGGAGCGCCTTTGCCTCCCTACACGCTCTCTTCTCTTGCATGCAGCCGTTGTTGCAGCCGTTGTGCACAGTACCTCCACCAGCACAGCAGCACCACCACACGCACTGCGATGCGAATTCCAGGTTCTCTGCCTTCCTCCTTGCCCATGCAACGGGACTAAGCCTCGCTTGCTCAAGTGTTGCACTCACTCGTGTGGGATGGGTGGGAATGCTTGCTTTGCATCTGCTCTTGTTGTTGCTCCTGGCAGTTGCGAGCCATGCCCCACTTGGCACGCGGTTTCAACCTCGTCGGCCTCTCCCAGGCAAGTCCAGCACACGGCGGTGGCAATTCATGTTATCTGTTCGAACACGACAGCAAATGGCTGTTCTTGGATTAAGCGCAGCAGCTAATGCATGCTTTTGGATCGATACAGACAGAACAACGAAGGCCTTTTTCTGAATTGACAACAAGAGCATGTTTCGATCTAAACGTGTACCAGATAGATTTTCTTTACTCCAGCACAAAGGCGAATGCCACCTTGTCTCCCTCGTCTCCATCTCCTGCCTCTCCCACCCTTTTCGTCATTCAATGTTTGTTCCAGTATCCTATGCTCACGCAATCACATGCTCTGTCCCCACCCATGTTATGTGCCTGTTCCCCTCTCACGCCCATTTTTCCTCTCTCCTTGGTATCAAGTCAATCATGTTGTTGGCGTGCAGTTTTTCCCTTGCTATCTGCCTGCTTGCTCCCGCGCATGCCATCATCGCTTCTATTTATCCTTGCCGTGCAGGGAGGTCTGATTGCTCGGGCCCTCATCCAGTCATGCGACGGCCTGCCACCCGTGAGTTTCTGTTTTGTTCTGTGATGTTTTCCACAAGCTCTGTAATCGAGGTGGCTTCTGATTCGACTCATAAGTGGCCTGCCACCGGTGAGTTTCAGTCCACTCCACTTCGATGTGATGTTTTCCACACGATGTTATCGCCCACTTCAATGCAGCCATTCTGTTCTTCTCTGTTCTGTCCGGCCAAAACGTATCAGCAAGCAGAGGTCTTGTTGCTTGCTCTATCTCATGAGCTTCTGTCACTCATCTGATCAGCAACACTCGAGCTTCCAGCTTCCTCCTGTTGCTGTCACAGGATCCGTCTATCCTATAATCCACACCTCCCTTCCTTATCGCCAAAATCAGTCTCATAGCTGTTATTGGTCCTGACCATCACCACTGCCATAACCACCATACTCACCACCCCCACTCACTCCACCATTGCCCTGCATTGTTCTGCCATTGCGCCGCTCTTATTCCGTTTGTATTCCGTGGCCCCACCATCATCTCCCCATGGCCCCAGGTGCACTCCCTGGTATCCATTGGAGGGCCGCAGGCTGGAGTTGCTTCCACGCCTCAGTGTGTGGTGAGCTCTCTCTCCCTCTTTGACGACCCACCTCATTGATCTGATGATACGCCGCCATCCCCACTTGCCCACCCTACCCTTTCCCGCACACCTCTCATTTGGTTTCTGCTCTCCTCAGCCTGCCTCCCGCATTGTTCGCCCCCATTCATCCCCCAACCTTGCTCTGCCTCCCCCATCCTTCCCCCCCATATACACCCCCCCCATGCTGCCCCACTGCGGTCACACAAGCTGCACGCAGTGTGTCAGCTCATAGAATCCGTGCTGGAGTTTGGTGCCTAAAACAACCCCCCCCCCCGCCATCTCTCACACCAGCTGCACGCAGTGTGTCAGCTCATAGACTCCGTTCTGGAGTTTGGTATCTACTCTGACATGGTGCATGTGGCCTCTCGGCTCCCATTCTCTCATCCTCTGCTTCCGTCTCCCCCCATTCTGCCCCACCATACCACCCCCCATCTCTCACACCAGCTGCATGCAGTGTGTCAGCTCATAGACTCCGTTCTGGAGTTTGGTATCTACTCTGACATGGTGCATGTGGCCTCTCGGCTCCCATTCTCTCATCCTCCGCTTCCGTCTCCCCCCATTCTGCCCCACCATACCACCACCCATCTCTCACACCAGCTGCATG